GAGACTGCTGTGGTCCTTGGGTCAGCTACAGCGAAGTTTCTTTATGGGGACTTTGCCCCTTACGCTCTACATGCTTCCACATGCCCCAGCGCGGGCTGCAAAAAGGAGAATGAGGGTTATGTAATCATGTTAGGCACTAAGGTGGTACTAGGTTTTTTTAAGAGTGAATTTGCTTGGACCCTATGGAATGTACAGTGGCTGAGCCCATATAGCTAAAGCTGAACAAAAGCAGATCACTGAAATTTTGCCTCACTGAGAAACTCTAAAATCACTTGTAATCTCATCCCCATTTTGCCTAGTGCTCTTCGCTGAAATTTAGTTTGTATTTAAAGGAATGCAAAAGATGATCTTTTCTATGGGGAATATAATTGAACTCTAAATAGTCTTGTAAAAATTTGCCATTTCTCTTCCATGTTTGGCTTTTGGTTTCAACATTTGAAAGTTATTTGGGGGGCCTTGTATTTGCTGGGATTGTGTAAAAGTATTAAGTTAGCATATTGTGTAAAAATATTAAGTTAGCATAATATTGAATATTAATTAGAAAGATTGTAACGGTCAATGTTTTAAAATTGGATACTATTTTAGAATTATTAATAATGTAGTTCACACAGATTAAACAGCGTATTTTGGTAATGGAAATATAATTCTCGTGTGGCCATTTTTGGTTTAGAAGATCAAGAAAGATGGGCATGAACTTTTCTATGAAATTGCTTTCACATAGAGCTGGAAATTTATTGTTCTTAAACTGAAAGTTTTGTTCCTGCTAATACCTACCTGAATAAGGATTAAATCACAAAGTACATTTTCACTGCGTTCAATGATGAAATTGTTTCTCTTTTGGGTATTTACAATATCTTCGCACTAATTGCATCAATCTAATTATGCTTGCTGATGTGACATTTTATTCCTCAGGAAAAGAAAGTCATAATCCAAAGCTTTAAATAGGCAATAAAAATTAAAATACCAAAAGAACCATTACTGGTTCATCTAGGACTTTGTATTCATTTTATCCTCACATCCCCATAAATAAATAAATGCCTCTAATGGCTGAGAGGCTTTGTGGCATAAGAAGGGACTGTGTGACCAGAGAAGTGTAGAGGGAGAGGGTCAAAACAAAGCAAACTACATACTTCTTAAGATGTGTTATTATCTATTCAGATATTTAAATTTCTGCATATTTAATGTTAGCTTTGATAATGAATTTTGAGAATTAAACTTTGTTTATGTAGTTAGTAAAATTGTTTTACAGTATGATTGAAGAGCTATGTAATAATTATTTCTCATTTTAATTGTATCTTGGTGAATTCATTTGAAACCTTGAAAACTGAGTTTAAAATCCTTTACTGTGTTCAGGCCAGTAGCTGGAGAGTCAGAACTTGTAGCTCACTACTTTGTCTAACAACCTGTAAAGAAGGACCAAAAAAGGACATACACAAATGTATATCTTTAACCTGCTGCTTCTTTGTAAAATAAGCTTAGTGTTCATTCACATTTCTGGGAAACTGAGCTTTTTCCTTTCTCTCTGGAAGTTCTTAATGACCATTTGCTACATGAAAACATAACTCCTGAAAGTTATAAGATAAGCAAATAAGGAATAAAATCTATGTTTACATGAGGACATAAAGCTAAGTTGAGGTAACAAAGGTAGGTGGAAGGAGAGCCAGAAGGAAAATGAAGGCGTTACAGTCATTTGCTCAGATAACAAGATGACACCACTGTAATTAGTGCTTGTCTTGCAGCATCGCCCAGAGGTTCCAGATCAGGTCCATGTTTAATAGTAGGCTCTTCACATCCAGATTGTAAATTGTCAGTCCCTGTCCCTAAGACCTCAGAGTTTAAACAAAGAGGTTACACTGAGTCTGTGTCTAAGCAAGAGGCAAGGGACGTTGTCCATTATGCCACAAGTCTTTAGAGAAAGAAACTGAAATTAAATCTCAGGAAGAAAAAACCTATGCTGAACTACTGTTAGTGTTTGAAAGATCTTCAGTCAGTATGACTCTCTTGGGCTTCTGAAATGTCACTAATACAGAGACAGCACAAAGCCCATGTAGCCAAGAGATCACATAAGCCCTGGTTTGATTTCAGGGGAGTGGCCTCTAGGATTGTGACTCCAGCATATGTTTCTTGGCAAGAAGGACAATGATATCTTTTTCAAGAGCTATAAGTAGTTTTTACAGCATTCCTTGTCCTTCTGTGACAACCAGAAGTAATCGCAGTCCCCAGAATGTGTATGTGCTTGTCACTATGTCCCCAGGAAAACAATACTTCCAAGACACCCCACCCACTTACAAACCCAAATGTACACAGTAGGGACAGGTTGTACCCTCTAAGGCAACAAAGGAAAAACGAAAGTTTCCTGCAGGACTAAGGTTCTGAAACATGAATAAACTCAAAGGGATTTTTTTTTATGCAGATCTCTTAAAGATGCTTACCTCAAGAGTGAGAGGAATGCTCAGCTCACATCACATTTCAGAAGTATAGTGAGAGCAGGAAATGCTTAGCTGAAGGTGAAGGCAGAGAAAAGGCACTGAGTTCTTTGCTCAGAAGGTCTAGTATTAATCTAACAAATTGCTCTACACAGAGACAAAACAGTTCCCTATCTAAATATGAGAAACACAGAACAAAATATATACTTGAAGTGTTTAGGTACCAGGATTTCACATTGTATTCAATTTCCTGATTGCTAAGTAGAACAGGAATTTATGCTGCATTTATTTTCAGTAGGATTAAGACTTCTCCACTGTTGGGTGCTAGATTTGATCACTTTTGAAAATGGGTCTTTAGGTTTATTTAAATACTTCAAGGATATCTGCATATATGTCATAGTGGGAAAACTGACCTCATTGCTATTTCTTTCATCCAGACACTTCCTTGGGTTTTGCAAATAAGCCTTAGATGAAATTGCTGAATATCTGTTGTTTCATTTGTGTTGTAGCTGGGATACTGAAAGGGAGAGGGTACAGATGATCCATCTTGATGCTGTAGGGCTGTCCTCTTATGTTCAACACCTTGAAAAATACATTTTGCCAGTGTACTTCATGCTGGTCCTATGTTTACTACTAAGGTTTGTACAGTCTGTTGGCTTGCAACAATTCTGAACCCAGAGTAGTGTTTCATGATTAAACAAATGTGTTAATATTTAAATTTGTTTACTGGTTTTGCTTTTCCTTCCTGTATTTTTTCTATTTTTTACTGTTTGCTATTTTCCACTGTTTTCCACTTTTATTCACTGCCACAGTAGTTAATGTTTTTCTGTAGGAGGACTTACTTTGCCTACTCTTTAGTTCTGCCTTTCCTTAATCAGCTCATCTCTGGTTCAGAGGTTGAAAGAAAGACCATGTATTTTCATTCAGTGTGATAGATATAAGAGGGAGTTCTTCCTGGCCTGACAGTCAGAGGCCCCTCCCCAGTGAGAGACACATTCAATTATTCTCTCAGTTTATATATTACAGTGCAGGGTAGTGAATTAAATTAGAGACTTCATCTATCTGATACTGACTTAGTATTTCCATGATCCCTCCCTTTCTCCCTCCCTCCAGTAGTCTCTCATTGCATCTAGTTAGCACAGTGATTCGTGTACTGCTCTGAACATCTCTTCTTTTCTACCTACGGTTGAGTCCACTGCTGTACATTTTAAACCTTTATGAAGTAAAACTGAAAATGCTCAGCATTGAGGTTTGGACTGGTAAAGCTCTTGGAGATCAGCTGCTTGTCTGAATGAACTGTGTATGACCCACAATGTAAGTCTCATGGGATCATGTGGGATGTCTAATATTTCTTTTGGATGAGCACACCTGGATAAAAGTCTTTATGAAGCTATAAAGGTGCTTTTTGATACAAGACTACAAGGTATTTGGTATGCATGTTGGAGAGGGTAGATAAAAGTTTTAGAATCAGTGGTGCTACCTGTGTTAAATTTTTAGATTGAAAATATGGTGCTTGTTTTGCAATGGTAGAAAGAATTTTTTTTACATATTTCTTTAATTTATCCCTGAGTGTGAGATGTATTAGTGAACTATCAAAGAAGTTGTTCCTTTTTGAGCCACACTTCATACATTATAATTTATTTCCTGGTCTGCCTTGGAAGCTTTGTCTTAGGGGTCAAAATGGTTGCACACATTTTCTAATAATCTTTGTACATATTTGTTCACTTCACTTTCAGGAAGAGCTTTACATCTAGCAAAACACTAACCTTATTTCTAAAGAGTTAATTATCTACTATTCCAGGAGGGCAGGCAGCAATTTCATCCTGAAGGAGTAAATAAAACGAGTAATAGAAGTGTAATACTA